AATTTATTTATTTAAATAAATGAAAAATAAATAATGGCGTTTAATTATTGATTTAAAAAAGAATTAATAAATTTGGCTTTGGCTACAAATAAATAAAAATCTGAAATGTTTTTTAATTATTAATAAAAAATTGTTAACGAAATTTTAAAATAAAAAATTTGTTTTAAAAAAATGACTTTTTTTTTGTTATTAAAACCTTAACATTTAGGGGAAAGAGAGGGGGGGCGCAAATCATTTAGTTTTAAATTTAAAATATAAAATTTTATGAGTGCATCTTATTTTAAAAATTCTAAAAAATAAATCATAATAAATTTAATAAATTTACACTGGCATATTTTTTTTTCTTTCTATTGATTGTTTTTTATATTAAAAAGCATAAAATAGCAAAAATGTATTTTTTTATTTGAATAAAAGAATATTTTTAAAAATAACAATCAAGCATTGAAAAGTAAATGCAATAAATTTTTTTTTTCAACAAAAAAATAATAATAATAAAATAAGCTACACCGGAATGACCATTTTAAAAATTATCTATCAAAACCAGATATTTCAATGAGTTTTTGATGTACTTCGCTAAGAGCCTGAAATTAAAAATTTTATTATTACAAAAATAATTCTCTTTTAAAATTTATGTGTCTTTGCAAAAAAAAAAAAAAAAGAAAATCACCTTGAAATATTTAACTGTTTTAACTTTAAGCTCTAAAGTTGCACTCTCATCACAGACAATTAAAGTAGAAGGATGCTGCTGGAAAGCAGATACTGTCCACATATGATTAATTCCTTCTTCAATGGCTTTGTGTAATGCATACGATTTGTGACTACCAGTAATTAAAATCATGACCTAATAATAATAATAATATGTTTAATTTTTTTATAATATTGTTTTATTAATTTTTCTATATTACCTCATCGGCATCCATTACAGTTCCGACTCCAACGGTTAATGCTTCTTTAGGTACTTTTGTTATATCGTTACCAAAAAATCTCGCATTCGCTTCTAATGTGTCATAAGCTAAAGCTTTTACTCTG